TAATAAAACGAAAAGGAAACTCCAAGGGTTGATAATGGTCTGGGGATTCAGGAACCCTCGTATTTTGCTGGTGGGAATGTAAATCGCACAGCCACTTTGGAAGAAAGACTGGTGGCTTCTTAAAGTGTTAAACATGGATTTACCATATGACTTGGCAATTCCACTCCTAGATAGCTATCCGAGATAAACGAAAGCCTGTGTCCCCCAAAAGACGTGCATGCGAATATTCATAACAGCATTGGTCATCATAGCCAAAATCCTGAAACATTCCAAATGCTCATCAGTTGGTGAATTATATTAGTAGGCGGCCATAAAAAATCACTACACACTCTGTGGCTTAGAACAATAGAAATTGATTCCCTCACAGTTCTGGAGGCCGGAAGTCTGAAACCAAGATGTCCGCAGGGCTGCACTCCCTCTACGGAAGAATCAGGTCTTTGCTTCTTCCCGCTGCTGTTGGCTGCCAACATTCTGACATTCCTTGACTTGTAGTCACATCACTGTACTCTCTACCTCTCACCTTCTGCTCTTTGTTTCTGGCTTTTACCACACAACCTTGTTCCTGAGATTCTGCCATGTTCTGTGTGACTCAAATCTCCCTCTGACTCTCTTACAAGGAAATCTGTGATGCCATTTGGGGACCACATGGATGATTTGAGAATAATCCCATAATTTTAGTATTTTTAATTATATCTGCAAAGACCTATCATGCAAAAAAGATAATATTTACAAGTATTAGGACCTGACACCTTCAGGCAGCCATTATGTGGCCTACTACATGAACTGATAGATAAAAGGGGTATACTTTACAATGGTACTTTATTTTCTCCTTCCTTCACTCCTTCCTTCCTGCCTTCCTTCCTGCCTTCCTTCCTGCCTTCCTTCCTCCCTCCCTCCCTTCCTTCTGTCTTTCTTTCTTCTTTGTTATGGAATCTGGGTCCGTCACCCAGGCTGGAGTGCAGTGGCATGATCTCGGCTCAGTGCAACCTTCGCCTCGCAGGTTCAAGCAATTCTCCCTGCCTCAGCCTCCTGAGTAGCTGGGATTATAGGTACCTGCTACCATGCCTGGCTCATTTTTGTATTTTTAGTAAGAAATGGAGTTTGCCATGTTGGCCAGTCTGGTCTCAAACTCTTGACTGTAAGAATTAAAGAAAGAGGAAAGAAACATGAAAAGTGGCTCAACAAAATAAACCTGTCTTTGACTATTGAGCTGCTTTTCATGTTTCTTTCCTCTTTAACTCTTACACTGACCTCAGGTAATCTGCCCACCTCGGCCTCCCAAAGTGCTGAGATTACAGGTGTGAGCTACCTACATGCCCAGCCTAAAATGGTATTTTCTTTCACAATTAACTGGCAGAGATATATCCTCCAACATTGATGAACCTTAGAAACATTAAGCTAAGTGAAAGAAGCCAGGCTGAAAACACTATATATTATATGATTCTACTGATGTGAAATGTCTAGAACAATTTATTATAAAGAAACAGAACAGATTTTTGCCCAGGGCTGGGTAGTTGTAAATGGGCATGGAGGCAATTTCTGTGGTGGTAGAAATATTCTAAACTTAGATGTGGTGGTAGCTCTACACTGTACAAATTTACTAAGATTATTGAATTTTATATTAATTGTACCTCAATACAGATGTTTAAAAATAGTACTGTATGATTCCATTTATATAAGATTCCAGGAAATGCAAACTAACCCATAGTGGCAATGGTCTTCTGGAGATGGGGACAGAAAAGAGGAGGTGAGAAGGATTATTAAAGAGCATGAGGCAACTTTTGGGATATAGGATATGTTTGTTGTCTTAATTATGTGATGGTTTCATAGGCATATACATTTGCAAGAACCTAAAATTTTACACTTTGACGATGCCTCATTAAAACTATTAAAAGCACTCTTCTCAACTATGGGCTGCCTCATTTATACATTCTCTATAGAATCGTTTCTGCCTCATAGAGGCCACTCACATTTCACATTGGCCATCATGTCTAGTGAGCAGTCGTTGACTAAGGGTGCTTTCTCTCTTTTTTTAAAATTTAATTTATTATTATTATTATTATTTTTGAGACAGAGTCTCACTCTGTTGCCCAGGCTGGAGTGGAGTGGTGCAATCTTGGCTCACTAAAACCTCCACCTCCTGGGTTCAAGTGATTCTCCTGCCTTAGCCTCCCGAGTAGCTGGGACTCTAGGCACATGCCACTGCTCCTGGCTAACTTTTGTATTTTTAGTAGAGACGGGGTTTCACCATGTTGGCCAAGTTGGTCTTGAACTCCTGACCTCAAGTGATCTGCCCATTTCGGGCCTCCCAAAGTGCTGGGATTACAGGCATGAGCCACCATGCCCAGCAGAGTGCTTTCTCTTTTGAGGTCTGTATTTGTGAAATCAACTAATCTTACATGTGTAGATTTGTTTCTGCACATTTTGTCCCGTAACCTACACATCTATTTTGAGATAAATACTACACTTTGTTACCATCAATTTATAAAATAATTGAAAATTGATAATGTAGTGCTTTCAAATTTGTTCCTTTTCAAAGCAATCTTGGTTGTTCCCATTGCATGTAAATCCCATTGCATATGCATTTTATTATTTTATTATTTTTGAGACAGAGTCTTGCTCTGTTGCCCAGAGCTGGAGGGCAGTGGTGTGATCTCAGCTCACTGCAACCTCTGCCTCCCGGGCTCAAGCAATTCTCCTGCCTCAGTCTCTCAAATAGCTGGGACTACAGGCATGCGCCACGCATCCAGCCTACATATACAATTTTTTTTTTTTTTTTTTTTGAAGCAGAGTTTTGCTCTTGTTGCCCAGGCTAGAGTGCAATGGTGCGATCTCGGCTCAACACAACCTCCATCTCCTCGGTTCAAGTGATTCTCCTGCCTCAGCCTCCCGAGTAGCTGGGATTACAGGCATGCACCACCACACCCAGTTAATTTTGTATTTTTAGTAGAGACAGGGTTTTTCATGTTGGTCTGTTTGGTCTCGAACTCCTGACCTCAGGTGATCCGCCCTCCTTGGCCTCCCAAAGTGTTGGGATTACAGGCGTGAACCACTGCACCTGGCCTGCATATACATTTTAGATACTGCTTGTCACTATCTGCGATACTCTGAGCCAGTCCTGACTAGCAAAAGGCTGGTGAGACAAGGTCCGGTGCTGAGAGGTCAGTCTGTTGCCTACAGGCCTAGGTTGTCAGCAGGTTACCCTGCCTAGCCATCTGGTTATAGAGAACCTGCTGAGGGGTTTCAAGATCACTAATAACATAATTAAGAGGCACATACAGAATACTGTTTCAGAATTTCTCTTTATGAAATGAGGAGGATGAGCAAATGTAGTTCACATGTCACAGATGTGATAGGGAAGGAAGCAGCCATGTACAACCCATGGATTGTATGGGAAATTGGGCAGGAGACCTTCACCCGCCTCGGTGCTTATATTATAGACATGGGTCTCGTCAACACTTCAGGTTCAAACAAGGACACGTATAATTGGTATGAGCTGTAAGGCTAGGAACTACGGGCAAATCAGTGATGAGAGGATTAGAGAGGAAGAGAAGTCTTCTACCTCTCAGCATTCTAGATCTCATGTGCTCCAAAGTGCAGGAGATGAGAGCTGTCAGGTCCATGACTCAGAGTCACTGATGGCAGGCTAGTATCCACGAAAATGCAGTAGGGAGGAGGATGGCCAGGGTTTTGTTAAAATAATTTTTTAATAGTAAGTTAATTGAGTAATATAAAATTATTTTAATAATAAAATATTTCTTCTTTAAATTATGTGTAGGCGCACAATTTAATCAGAAGAATTTAAGCATGATTTAATTAGAGGAATTTAAGTGAAAGTGAGCACACTGGCTGTGCACGGTGGCTCACGCCTGTAATTCCAGCACTTTCGGAGGCCAAGGTGGGCGGATCACGAGGTCAGGAGATCGAGACCATCCTGGCTAATATGGTGAAATCCTGTCTCTACTAAAAATACAAAAAAATTAGCCGGGCATGGTGGCGGGCGCCCGTAGTCCCAGCTACTCGGGAGGCTGAGGTAGGAGAATGGCATGAACCCAGGAGACGGAGCTTGCAGCGAGCCGAGATTGCGCCACTGCACTCCAGCCTGGGCGACAGAGGGAGACTCCATCTCAAAAAAAAAAGAAAAAAGAAAAAAGAAAAAAAAAAGAAAAAAAAAAAAAAGAAAGTGAGCACACTTTACATGACTGGAAAAATATTTAACCAAATAAACTTTGTGTTTTCTCTCATAATGCAATAGTCATAACACCCAAACAGTGTTTAACGATCTGTTTTTTGGCAGGTATTTTAAAGTGGAATTTTCATGAAAGGAACAAGCAATTAAGGTGGTTCTCAGCTTTCCATAATTGATAAACTTCTATTTAATTTACTACTACTACTATTACAACAAATATTATCACTATTATTATCTCAGGATATTAAAAGATTAATTTTTGGCAAGTTTTAATTTTTTATTATTTCAAAAAGGGATAATCAGCTGTCTTATTTTTCGACTTTATTGCATAAAATACTCAATATTTTCTCTTAGTCTGGCTTGCTTTTTTTCTGACAGCATCCTTTGAAGAGCAGAAGTATTTTCTTTAAACAGAAGTAAAAAGAAAAATATGTCATGCTTTTTTTGGCCTATCTTTGCTTATGCCAAGGTTGCAAAAATTTTCTACTCTGTTTTTCTCTAGAAGTTACACATCCTAAATTTTTACTTTTGGCCTGTGATCTGTTTCAAGTTAATTTTTTTGTGGTTGGTCTGAGGACAGAATCAAAGCTAATTATTATTTCCCCGATAATATAAATTGTTGTGGCATCATTTTTTGAAAGAACCAATCCCTCCACTGTATCACTCTAGCTACTTTGTTGAAAATCAACTGAGCTTACATGTGTAAATTTGTTTCTGGATATTTTGTTTTATAACCCATACATCTAAATTCAGGCTAATACTGTACCTTGTTACCATAGCTTTATACAATCATTGAAATTTGATAGGAGCCCAGAGAGGCGCTGCTGCCACCGCCACCACGCTGCCGCTGCCTCAGTTATGCCGAAGCACGTGTTCTCCGTGGACATGACCTGTGGAAGCTGTGCTGAAGCTGTCTCTCGGGTCCTTGATAAGCTTGGAGGAGTTAAGTATGACATTGACCTGCCCAACAAGGAGATCTGCATTGAATCTGAGCACAGCGTGGACACTCTGCTTGCAACCCTGAAGAAAACAGGAAAGACTGTTTCCTACCTTGGCCTCGAGTAGTAGGGACCTGGTCCCCACAGCCCACAGGATGGACCAAAGTGGGCAGGATGCTGATCCTCCCCTGGCTTCCAGACAGACCTGGGACTTGGCAGTCATGCTGGGCAATGGTGTTCCTGTGGAGACCCTCAGTTGTCCTATTCCTTCCTAGCTTCCCCGTAATAAAATCAAGCTGCTTTTGTTGGGGAAAAAAAAAAAAAAAAAAGAAATTTGATAATGTAATTCTTTCAAATTTGTTATTTTTCAGAGCAATCTTGTTATTTCCATTCTATGTAAATCCCACCGCATATATATTTTAAATACTGCTTGTCGATATCTATAAAAATGCCTGATAAGATTTTGATTGGAATATATTTGACTCTGGAGATGATTTCAAGGAAAAGTAAAGTCTTCAAATCCTTGAACACTTTACACCCCTTCATTACATCATTTTATATTTCTCTCTGGCAATTGTTTAGCATCTTCAGTGTTATGAATCTTGCACACATTTTGTTTAATTTGTTCTTAACTATTTATTTTTATGCTACTGTAACAGATACTGATTTTTAATTTCAATTTGTAAGTGTTCCTGTCATGTAGAAATACACATACATTTTGTACATTGTTCTTGTCTCATAATCTGACTAGATTCACTTATCAGTTACTATAGATTGTCTTTAAATTTCTTAAGAATTTTTACACATACGATAATGTCATCTGTGAATAAAGCCAGTTTTCCTTCTTTCTTTTCAATCACTGACTTTTGTTGCTTTGAATTGCTCTGTAGACTGACTATAGAACCTTTGTTACAATGATGAATAGAATGAATAAAGGCAGAAAAAAATATTTATCTTGTTACTGATCTTAAGAGGAAATCATTCAGCCTTTATGACTAGTATGATGTTAACTGTAAGGTGTTGTACATTTTTAAATAGGTTAACAATGTACTTTGCTATTGCTACATTTCTGAGAAATATTAAGAATGGATGTTGAATTTTGTCAGATGTTTTTCCTGCATCTGGTTATATAATCAAATAGATGTTAGCCTTATTTGGTTAATTAGGTAAAGTACCTTGTTTGTTTGATTTTCCTAAAGGTAAACTAACTTTGCTTTGGGACCTAAATCCCAATGTTACTATTGCTGGATTTAGTTTGCTAATATTTTCTTTTGGGATTTGCACATATGCTCTTGAGTAACATTGATGTTAGAGGGTATTTTTATGTATTTTCTCTGATTTTTTAGTATCAAGATAATTTTTTACTGATAAAATATTTGAGAAAAGTTTATTTCTCTTCTTCTTTGTCGTCGTCGTCTTCTTTTTTTTTTTTTTTTGATGACGTCTCATTCTGTTTCCAGGCTGGAATGCAGTTGCACGATCTTGGCTCACTGCAACCTCCACCTCCCAAGTTCAAGCAATTCTCCTGCCTCAGCCTCCTAAGTAGTTGGGACTACAGGCCAGTGCCACCATGCCCAGCTAATTTTTGTATTTTAGTAGAGACAGGGTTTCACCGTGTTGGCCAGGATGGTCTTGATCTCTTGACCTCGTGATCTGCCCGTCTCGGCCTCCCAAAGTGCTGGGATTACAGGTATGAGCCACAGCGCCCAGCCTATTTCTCTTCTATTTTTTTTTAAAAGTTTGTGAGTGCATTATTTCTTTCATAAGTATTCATTTGAATTCAGTTAAACAAACTCTATTTAAACTGTAAAACCAATTCAATATGCAAAGTCTGTTTATTTAATTATTTCCATGCTATTGAAATTTTGTATTTATTCTTGAGTGTATTTTGGTAAGTTTTTTGTTCCTTTGTTTGTATAGAGTCTTGCTCTGCCACCTATGCTGGAGTGCAGTGGTGTGATCTTGACTCACTGCAACCTCCACCTCCCAGGTTCAAGCGATTCTCCTGCCTCAGCCTCCTGAGTAGCTAGGACTACAGGTACTCACCACCATGCCCGGCTAATTTAAAAAAATATATTTTTAGTAGAGTCAGGGTTTCACGATGTTAACCAGGCTGTTCTCGAACTCCTGACCTCAATTGATCCACCTGCCTCAGCCTCCCAAGGTGCTGGGATCACAGGCATGAGCCACTGCATCTGGCCCTCTTTTGGTAATTTTTATCTTTCAAGGTAAATTTACCCAATTCATCTAAGCTTTCAAATTAATTAGCATAAACATTTTCTTAATTTTTTATTCTACTTTTATGTAGGTAAGATCTGTAGTGATATTCTTTTATTATTCTAGATAATGGTCATCTGCACCTTTTCTAATTTCTCCTTGATTAATATACCTAGCGAGTTGCCCTTTTCAAAATATAACCTTTTGGTTTAACTGAAATTCTCTAGTTTTCTCTTTTGATTTATATTCGTATTTTTTTTTCTTAAGTTTCATTGTAATATATACTTCATTTCCAGCATCTTAATATGACAATCTTAGGGTTGCTGATATGAGATCTTTTTATTTTTTCTAGTTGAAGCATTTAAAGCTATAAATTATACTCAATGCTCTTTTAAGTCCTATTCCACAAAATTTGAAATGTTCTGGTTTTTTATTCAGCACAAAATATATTCTAATTCCTTCTGTGATTTCTTCTTTGTTTTCTGTGGGTTATGCAGAAGTGTGCTGTTTAATCTGTAAATTTCCAAACATTTTCAAATAATTTCAGTTATAGGTTTAATTCTCTGTGATTAGATAGCATAGTCTGTATTATTTGAATCCTTTTATATATTTGAGATTTACGTCATAAAATATCATCCCTATTGGAGAATGTTCCATTTGCAAAGGAAAATAATTGTTATCCTGCTGTTGATCATGTTGATTAACAGTGTTGTTTATGTCTTCTAAATACCAAGCAATTTTCTGTTTATTTTTATAAGTTACTGAAGGGAGAAGCTGAAATATCTGAGATATCTAATGTATTTAAAGGACATATTTCAGCAAACTCAGGTTAGTAGCTTGAGATTGGCAATGAGATGATGAAAGTATTTACACCATGGAAATTGGCAAATGGTAAAATCCAAGGCTGTCCACTCCCATGCTTGGGAGTGCTGATTGTTAACTAGCATGGCACTGGACAATTCCTACAGAAAAGAAAGAGGAAACCCCACTTCCAATTGCCCCAAGTCACCATGCTCCTCCTTACTTGGTAACTCTCAGTGTACGTGTAAGACCTCTCCGATGGTGATCCGGCCTGTGCGGCAGGCGAGAGAGGAGTGGAATGAGCCGACATTCATTGAGCATTTATTATGTCGTCCCCCAGTGATAGTAACAACAGTAGGGGAAGGCTTGGCTTCTTGTTTCTCCAACACATTAGCTTCTTTCAGTTCTCATTATGGTAGTGTGGTATTGCAAAGTATATTATGTAATACTTCTTTTTTGTTTTGTTTTGTTTTGTTTTGAGACAGAGTCTCGCTCTGTCGCCCAGGCTGGCGTGCAATGGTGCAATCTCGGCTCACCGCAACCTCTGACTCCCGGATTCAAGTGACTCCTTTGCCTCAGCCTCCTGAGCAGCTGGGACCACAGGCACATGCCACTACGCCCGCTTAATTTTTGTATTTTAGTAGAGATGGGGTTTCACCATATTGGCCAGGCTGGTCTCAAACTCCCGACCTTGAGATCTGCCTGCCTCAGCCTCCCAAAGTGCTGGGATTACAGGCGTGAGCCACGGCGCCCGGCCTTTATGTAATATCTCTAAGTCACCTAGTAATCCTTGGTTTTTGATTGCCTCATATGGGTGCATTATGCAGCAAGAATTATCTAACTCTGGTCTACTTGTGCTTGTTCCTGTCTGCCATGTATTTTGGAACAAAGACAGATGGGAACATTGTGTGACACTGGTTGGGCAATACATACCAACTTGTCACTGCAGCATCTCATGTCTCATCTACTAGTTTGAGTGTCAAGAATTAGCCTTAGTTGCACCACAAAATTGCTTTATGATAAGGAACTCTTTCTCATTCAGTTATTTTCTAAGAAATTAGGAGGGCTTTTTTTTTTTTTTTTTCTCAGAGAAGGGAAACATCCCTTTATAACTATTGAATATAAAACAAAGTTAAACACATGTTTACATTCAGTGAACCTGGTTGTAAACACCTAAGCTCAACTTTGAGTTGAGAAACTCAGATTTGACCATTTTGCTATGTTTCACCCAAGGAAGAGTAATTAAGGTAAAATTACAGCAGAATTACTAATTAATTGTGTAAATACACTAAAAGGTGAAGAGTGTTAGGATGTTTAGGTTGAGTGATAGGGTAAGTTTTGTTTAATGACTAAAACAAAAACATGAGGGAGATATGAGGAAAGAAGCTTTCAATTTATTTTTAGTTTGCATTTTTACATTAAACATTTTTTTTTCATTTTCTTCATTGACCACAAGAATAGTGTCCATACATCAGTAAATAATTCAGGGGTTACTTATTAAGTGCCTAACATAAATCAGGCCATGAGGAGCAGGGAACAAAGACAATTTTTGCCCTTAAGGATTCTAAGTTAATGGAAGGGCGTGAGGGTGGTGGAAGGTGGCTAGGAAGTGT